ACTATGAGAGCCTAATAGAAATAAACATAATAACCTCAAGTCTGAAAGACAGAATCAGATTTAAAGAATTATAATTTTGCTGGAACCCGTTTGTCTTAGTGGATAGAGCGTCGGCCTGCGGACTAAAAGGTCCCAGGTTCGATTCCAGTCAAGGGCATGTACCTTGGTTGTGGGCACATCCCCAGTAGGGGGTGTGCAGGAGGCAACTGGTCGATGTTTCTGGCTCTATATCCCTCTCCTTTATTCTCTGTAAAAAATCAATAAAATATATATTAAAAAAAGTATTATAATTTTTAATTTCACTAAATGCTTTAACCAATGCGTGATCCTGAAAGTAACATCTTACACTCACATTTTAAATTGATTCTTTTTCCTTATTGTCTAAAGTTTTACAAAAATCTCCTTTTCTCCCAATTGACCAACCCCGAAGCCATTCCCACCCCAGGTAAGCCCCCACCACCTGAGTGTTTGTGTCCTTTGGTTATGCTAATATGCATGTGTACAAGTAAGTTGATCCTTAACAAAGTAGTTTCATATTTGTTTGTTTAGGACTATTACTTAGATTAGTTTTAGGCTTACAACAAATTTCAGAGGAAGGTATAGAGATTTCACACATACCCCCTCCACTCACACATGCATACTCCACCCCCATTATCACATCACCCACCAGGATGGTACATTTTTACCAGGAATGAACCTAAATTGATCATTTTACCCACACCTTAGGACTTCGAGATGAAGAATAATCAGTTTCCTCAAAAAGCTAAATGTGGAATTATCATATGACCCAGAAATTCCTCTTAAATGTTATGACCAAGAGAACTGAAAACATATGCTCATACAAAAACTTGCCTATGAATGTTCATAGCAGCATTAGTCATAGTAGCCCAAAAGTGGAAACCCAAATGCCCGTTAACTGATGAATGGATAAATAAAATGTGGTATATCCACACTATGGGTGGAATATTATTCAACCATAAAAAGGAATGAAGTACTGACACATGCTACAATGTGGAGGGACATTGAAAACATTACACTATGTGAAAACAAACATATACAAAAGGCCTCATATTATGATTCCATTTATATGAAACTAGAGGTCTGGTTCACAAATTCATCACGGCCAGCCCCACCCCTGATGCGGGGGGGGGGGGGGGGGAAGGAGGGGGGGTGCCTGATAGGGTGTGGGGCAATTGGTGGGTTGGTTCCAGGCCCTGGTTGAAACTCAGGTGGAAGGGACAATTTGCACATTATCCTTTTATTATATAGGATTATTATATAGGAAGGCTGTCCAGAACAGGCAAATTCATAGAGACAGAGAGCAGATTAGTGATTGCCAGGAGTTGGAAAGAGGGGTTATGGGGAGTGACAGCTAATGGGTACCAGGCTTCTTTTGGGTGTGATGAAAACAATCTGAAATGATAGTAGTGATGGCTGCACAACTTTGTGAAAATAGTAAAAACCAGTAAACTGTGCACTCTGAAAGGATGAATTTATGGTATGTGAATACCATGAAGAATAAAAGCTCATCTTCCCTTTCTGCATGCATGACATCTTCTGTGGCAGTATCCTTCCAAATCTAAACTCTATGCATTCACAGGAAAACTCAACAGTGCTCTCCCAACCACCTCCTCTTTTCTTCAGGTTCCTAATTTATATGTCATTTCTCAGACTGGAAATTTTCAGTTATCTCTAATTTATTTTCTCTCAGTTTCAACATCAGTCAGCAATGCCAGCACTTTCTATTAATAATACAAATGGTTACCTTTATTAAATACATAATTCCTGCCAGATATTGTGCTGGGTGATCTATAAGTATCTTTAATTTTAACAATAAATCATGCATTTTACAGTGGTAACTAAAATTAATGGGGATTAAGTACTTTGTCCTTCAGTCTTTCTCCCTTGAATCTATGTTCCATCCTTGAATGATGCTCCTTAAAACTAAATCTGATCCTGTTACTCTCCCAGATAAGCTCTTCAAAGCATTGTCATAGAAAGTCCAGACACTTTAACTTGGTATAAGGTGCCCTTTATGATTCTTCTTCTTTTCTCACCACTCCTCATACCAACTTCCTCAGTTCCTGGACCAGGACAAACTCTCTTCTCTCTTGTTCTGGACTTGGCACAGGGTTCCCTTATTCATTCCCTCGACAAATATGTAACAAGTCCTCACTATGCCTGGCATTGTACTTGCTGCTTGTGGTGAACAAAACAGACGTAGGTCCTGCTCTCAAAGTACTTAGGTCTAATGGAAGAAATAAAAATAAACAAGTAATTGCAGATTGTGGTAAGTGAAACAAAGGAAGAAGCATGCTGTGATATAGAACATTTAGGGTTAGAGGTAGTGGAAAACTACAAAGAAGGTTTTAAATAGGTTTATTCTAGTAAGGTCTCAGGTGGTGACAAACTCTGAAACCTGACAATTAAAGAACCAGCTATGTGAAAAGCAGGTAAAGGAAGGAGGTGAGTGACAGATGTTCTTAAGAACATAACCTAGACCAAGGATTTTTGTAGACGGTGGTTAGGAATTTGGATTTTATTCTAAGTTCTAAGCACAATAGAATTCATTGAAGAATTTTAAGTAAGGAAGTGTCCCTTTTTGCTGCTGATCAGAGAAGTGACTGGAGGGGTATAAGGCCTGAAGTGATTTAGGGGAGAAATGTGGATGACCTGGACAAGGATCTGATAGTGAAGGAGAAAAAAGTTGACAGACTAAATGCAGAACTGACCCGATTTATGAAGAACTAATCAGCTGAAAATGAGAAAGAGATGAAGAGAGTATACAGAAAGTTTAGGAAATTGTCATTGGAAAAAGAAAGTAGGCTCACCACAGAAACAGAGGATAAGAAGGATCTCATGCCCACACCGAGTGAATCCTCAAGTGGTTGACCATTTTCATTTTGCAGTGTCATCAATTTAGCCAGGACTTTTCCCAGCAAAGTTAATCCAGTTAGATGCAGGTGCAGGTGCAAAAAGGGCAAAAAGATTGGGTACATCCAGAGATTGGGTTTTGCCAGAAAATAAAAGGCAGGGAGAGACAAGAAATAATGTATTTTCAAGGGAAAGATCATAATGATAAACTATGACATGCATTCCTAATTGGATTAAATAGGCAGAAAATGGAAGGATCAATGAATCAGAAGTATAGATGAAGTTCAAGGATTGTCCCTTATCATTACCAACCCAGCTCCTAGGGCAATGGAGACTAAGGAGAAAATAAACTAATGGGACTACATCAAAATAGAAAGCTTCTGCACAGCAAAAGAAACCATCAATAAAACAACAAGAAAGCCCACTACACGAAAGAACTTATTTCCCAATGATATTTCCGATAAGGGTTTAATTTCCAAAAGTTAGAGAGAATGCATACAATTTAACAAAAGGAAGATGGAAGATAAATGATCCAATAATAATAAAAAAAAAAAAAAATGGGCAAAGGACCTAAATAGACATTTTCGAAAAGACACAGAGAAGGCCCAGAGACATATGAAAACAGGCTCAATGTCACTAATCATCAGAGAGATGCAAATCAAAACAATGAGATGCCATCTCACACCTGTCAGAATGGCTATCATCAACAAATCAACAAGTGACAAGTGCTGGCAAGGATATGGAGAAAAAGGAACCTTCATGCACTGCTGCTGGGAATGCAGGCCAGGGCAGCCACTGTGAAAGACAATATGGAGCTTCCTCAAAAAACTAAAAATGGACCCAGTAATATCACTTCTAGGACTATATCCCAAGAAACCAGAAACACCAATCAGAAAGGATATATGCACCCCTATGTTCATAGCAGCACAATTCACCAAAGCTAATTAGGATTTGGAAACAGCCTAAGTGCCTATCAGCAGATGAGTGGATTAAAAACCTGTGGTACATCTACACAATGGAGTACTATGCCTCTATACAAAAGAAGGAACTTTTACCATTTGCAATAACATGGATGGAACTGGAGAGCATTATGCTGAGCGAAATAAGCCAGTCGGAGAAAGATAAAATATCACATGATCTCACTCATATGTGGGATATAATGGTCAACATAATTTGATGAACAAGAATAGATCGATCTAGAGACAAATGGTAGGGGAGGGGGGGTTAGAGAGCAACCAAAGAACTTGTACGCATGCATATTAGCATAACCAATGGACACAGACACTGTAGCAGTGGGGGTTGGCCCGGGGTGGGAACGGCTGGAGGGGGGGGGGGATCAATTGGGGGGAAAGGAACATATGTAAAATTTAGACAATTAAAAAAAATACTTTTATCCCGAATCACATCCATCCTGCCCCCTGTTATCTTTCAAAGACTCCCCATTACTACCATCTGAGTTTGTCACTATCTCATCCAATCAAACTATTCCCACCTTGAATCATTTATTTCACCCTACTGGGATTTCTCCTCCAGGTGACAGACCTCATCCAATGTGTACGACTGACAGTATTCACGTTACCACGTTTGTCAGTCATTGTTTTTCCTTTCTATACCTTTTTACTCGGTTGGGAAAAGGCATTTGTTATAAACAGTCTCTGGTCCTGTGGCAGTCTCCACAACAATACCAGGAACCGAGCAACCATTCCATAAATGCTGAACAGGGATCTCCAGGCTAATGGGCTTCCCAACCTCACCCGCTCTTTAAAGAAATCAAACAAAAGCTCATAACCCCTGTTCGTAGAGGCCCCACATATCTCCATTTGCCTCAAGAGAGGGCTCCAATTTCACACATTTAATTTTAACCCACCGTAACATTCGAAGCACGGTCAGGCATACAACAGCACCGGTAAGGATGCGGGGATACAGGGCCTGTGCGAGGATCGACAATCTGGATGCCACAACGTGAGAACAGCCACGTTCACTAGAAAACAACTCCCCTCACAGCTTGCTGCAGGACCAGAGAGACCTGAGACAGACGCTAGTAGACCAAACGGCCGCATGGGAGGTGCCGAGAGAGTCAGCTGGCACAGGGTGGTACCCAGGGCCTGACTCAGGCGGGCACCTACCTTTCTCCTCTCCAGTTCCAGCTGCAGCGCCGGTAGCGGTGGTGGCCCCCGAGCCTGCCGCCATGGCTAGCTCGGCTCCAGCTCCGCCCGAAACCCAAACGTGGAGTGGAGAGTGAGAGGGATCCCAGGGGGCCCGAAAGCTCTGCAGCCCCGCAGCCCCGCAGCCAGCTACCGGCTCTTCCGGAAGCGCCGCTCACGTGCAAGTCATGTGATCTGCGCTGGGCGGAGCCACGCAGGTTTGTTTTGATTCCGTCGGAGCCAAGTAAGGTAACCACGTGGTCTCGGTTGTGGTTCTTTTTGCCTTCCCTGGTTTCATCCTTCTTTCAATGCCATCTTTTCTTGGCTTCGTTTCTGCTCCTCCTCGTTTTCTAGTCAGAGCCGTCCTTTCGGCCTTGGTGATTTCCTCTGTCCAGTGATATTGGAGTTTTAGGGGATGTTTGCTTTTTTTTTTTTTTTTTTTTTTTTTTTTTTTTGGTGGAGCTCGGAGCAGTGGGGTGGCCCTGCGTCCCTTTACTCTGCTAACGCTCTTACCAGCCTTGGATACTAGATCTCACGCTTCTCCCCCTTCCCCTTCCCACCTGTGTTTTGCCCTTCTGGCAGCAACACGACTCCATTTGGTTTTCGTGGCTGCCGGGGAATAAGAACCTCGATCAGAAGTCCTGTCATTGTGTTCCCTATGACTCATTGCCCCACCCAGTCTCGCCAAATCGCTTAAGGGTTTCAAGGGCACTCACAGGCTGCTATCAGTCAGCTTCTGGATTTGCATAGCAAAATAAACACCCGTCAGCTAGATCCAGAGATCAACAACTCCCACCCTTCTCGTTTACTCTTTCTCGGGTCAAAACCATAATTGGATATGGAGCTGGGATAAAATCTTTCAGTGCAATTTTTCTTTACCCTCAGCCGAGGATATATACTAGTAGAATTGATTTGAGAGAGAGGAGAGAGAGGAAGAGAAGAGAGGAGAAAGGAGAGAAGGGGAGAGAAGAGGAGAGAAGGAAGGGGAGGACAGAAGAAGGGGAGGGAAGGGTAGGAAAGGGGAAGGAGAGGAGAGGAGGGGAGGAGAGAAGGGAGGGAAGGAAGAAAGATCTCTTTCCTCCAGTAAGCACCCACACCCTGGATGAACCTGCAACCTCGTTATGTGCCCTGACAGAATGGAACCCGCAACCTCTTGGTATACAGAAGGACCCTCCAACCAAATTGGCCACCGAGCCAGGGTACAAATCTTCCATTTTAACGATCCTATCTTTATTGCTCGCTTATTGGTAACAGGAAAAAGTAGAAACATTGCCTTTTACATATGAGTAAAACTGGCTCGTTCATAATCTCATTGGATCTGTACTACAAAAACCTGATAATACCCCCACAGCACGAGCAGCGCGATGTCCCAGCTGGAGAAGCCATAGGCCTGGCACGCTGAGTTCTGGATGGGGCCCCAGGCTGTACTTACTGTACATTAAAAACATTATTTTCAAGTGGCAACACTTGGGTCCCTACGACACCTCAATTTTATTCTACCTCCCCCTATAATTTCTGAAGTGAAAAAAAGAAAAAGAACCCCAAACTAGAAGCAAGCATTCGCTTAAGTGACCAGAGGTCAACAAGTTGTTTACTGGGCACATGATGCAAAACTTGGACACTTCCTCAAGCCACCCGGGGTTCTTTGCCCAACCTCCTCTGCTACAGCCTCCTCCGGCTTTTTCCCGGGGTCAGCCGCCTCCTCCCTGCCTCCCCCGTTCCTCACGGACCTCCTTCGGGGACGCCAGCTCCTCTCCATCTCTCCCCACCCGGAGACCCGTCCCCGCCAGCACCCGGGCCTCCCGGGGGCGCGCCGCACCTGCCACCCCTCCCGGCCCGGGACCCGCGCGCGCGCGGCGCAGGCGCAGGCGCACCAGGCGCGGCCGGGAGGCCAGGGCGTCCGCGGCAGCAGCGCGGCCTCCGCCCGTTCCCGTCGCCTCCCGCGCGGCTGCTCTGCGGCCGCCCGGACCGCGCTGGGCAGGGGCCCCGCGGGCCGCGCGCGGTCGCCATGGGCTCGGGCTGGAGCAGCGAGGAGGAGCGGCAGCCGCTGCTGGGCCCGGGGCCGGGGCCCGCGCCGGGCACCGCCTGGAGGAGCCGGGAGGCGGCGGCGCTGCCCGCGGCGGCCCCGGGCCTCGGGCGGGTGTACGCGCGCCGCTGGCTGGTGCTGCTGCTCTTCTCGCTGCTGGGGTTCGCGCAGGGCCTGGTGTGGAACACCTGGGGCCCCATCCAGAACTCGGCGTGCCAGGCCTACGGCTTCTCCAGCTGGGACATCGCGCTGCTCGTGCTGTGGGGGCCCATCGGCTTCCTGCCCTGCTTCGCCTTCATGTGGCTGCTGGACAAGAGAGGTGAGGGGTCCGGGGGGGCGCTCCTGGGGGGACCTCCTCTCTCCGGGTCTCGCCTTAGAGGTGGTCAGAGGGGAAGGGAGCATTGCCGGCACCCCATTCCTGGCCTGGAACCCTCTGGGCCCAAAGCAGCAAAGGCTTCTTCGCAGCTATAATGGTTTTTGTTTTGTTTTGTTGTTTTGTTTTGTTTTTATCAAGGCTCATTGTTAAGGTGACCCGACGTCCCGCTTTTGGTTGGACAGTCCCGATTCTTAACCATTTGTCCCTCGGCGTTTTTTAAAAAAAGTCCCGATTAAAAAAAAAAAAAAGAATCAAAAGCGGACGTCTGGTCACCTTACTCATTATGCAACAGCAGAGATAAAGCGTTCTCTTCACATTCACTTTTTTTTTTTTTTTTTTTTTTGCGTTTTGCGTTTTGCGGACCTCAGAGCCTTCCCGTGCGCGTGCTGTGTGGGTTTTTTGTGTATGTGTGTTTGTTTGTTTTTACATCTCACAAAAAATGACTGATGCTTCGACTTCACATGAACCTGGGGATGTTGAGGGTGAAAGGTCAGAAAAATAGGTGATGCCCAGATTGAAGGAAGCAATGAGTTGGCTTTGCCTAATAGATGACTCCAGGGCCAGGAAGAGCTGTTGGGAAACTCCGGATCTGACTCTGGTCTCTGGGAACCGATGCACCTCAGCTTTCAAGTGTGTGAATGGACTTAGGTGGCTGTGGGAGTTGAGATTTTAGTCGTCAGATAAAACTTGCAGATAATCGAGTCTCTCTCTTCACAGAATACTCTGGTCAGATATCTCTCACTTTACCACTTGCCAGTACGATTCTTTGAGGAGGAAGGAAAAGGTCATAGGATTGAATGATAAGGCATTGATTTATACCACACAAGCACAAGCAAATGACTCATGATAGATGTGGTATAGCTGCTGAAAGGGGGCAGATGATTTTCAGGCAGAGGAGCATAATGTCAAAAACAAGAACACATTTGACAGGCTCTGCTCCAGTGTTCGGTTCTGATCATTAATTTTACGAAGGCTGTTGACAAGCTGGATGGAATACCTTAGAAGCTGTGTGGCAAGGATAATCAAGGATGTAAAAACCAAATGTGTAACTTGAAGGGAACTGGGTGTGTCAGGCTTCAAAAAGAAACTTGAGGCAGAATATAAAATATGTGGAGACCAAGTGAAAGAGGAATTAGACTTAATGTGCGTGGGTCTAGGAGGAAGAACTAAACTGAGTGAAGTTACAGAAGGAGAAGCCACACAAGGAAGAACCTTCTAAGAATGAAAGGTGCCCAACCCTGGAAGGTGTGTCTTGGTTGGTGTGGAACCTCTGGGCAGAGCAGGCGCTTACACAGAAGACTTGCACTAGGTGCTGAGATAGGGGTTTTGTTCTGAATGGAGGTTTTCTTATTAAAAAAAAAAAATATATATATATATATATATATATATATATATATATATTTTTTTTTTTTTTTTTTTTTTTTTCCTTCTTCCCCCAGAGAGGAAGGGAGAGGGAGAGATAGAAACATCAGTGATGAGAGAGAATCATTCATCGGCTGCTTCCTGCATGCCTCACATTGGGGATTGAGCCTGTAACCCACGCATGCGCCCTGACTGGGAATCAAACCCTGACTTCCTGGTTCATAGGTCAATGCTTAACCACTGAGCCACAAGGGCCAGGCGGAGGATTTTTTTTTTTTCCATTTCTTTTTTTGTTTGTTTTATTTGCTTTTAAACTAAATTATAGACTTTATTTAGATTTCACTAGTTTTTCCACTGCCCTTTCCCCATCCCCCCCGTTCCAGGGTTTCAGTGGAGGGTCCCAAATTGTGTTTGGTTGTTATTTCTCCCTAACCTCCTCCAATCTGTGACAATTCCTCAGTCATTTCTTACAAGGTTGGCTAACTTTAGAGGGAAATGCTCTTTTGTTGTTTCTTTTTATCAGGAGCAATTTCCAATATTGTTCACTGAATCTAGCCAACTTTATTTTTATGATAGAGAAATGTTCATTTTTATCCTTATTATTATAATTCTATCTGCTATCTCTGGCCAGATAAATTAGGGATTACCTATTTGCTTCATAAAGCATGTTACTTTTTTTTTTTTTTTTTTTTTTTTAAATATATTTTTATTGTTCATATTATTACAAATGTTCCTCCCCCCCCCACCATTGCTCTCCTCCGCCAGGTTCCCACCCCACCCTCTGCCCTTTCCCCACCCCCCTTGTCCTCATCCATAGGTGCACAGTTTATGTTCAGTCTCTTCCCACCTCCCCATCTCCCCTTTTCCCCGAGAATCGTCAGTTCACTCCCCTTCCATACCTCTGATTCTATTATATTCATTAGTAAAAGTTCCTCAGATTTTTTTTTTAATTTCCTTGGTTTTTAGATTCACTTGTTGATAGTTACGTATTTGTTGTTCATTATTTTATCTTTATTTACTTTCTCTTCCAAAAGAACCCCCTTCAGCAATTCATATAATTCTGGTTTGGTGGTGATGAACTCCTTTAGCTTTTTTTTATTAATGAAGCTCTTTATCTGGCCTTCGATTCTGAGTGATAGCTTTGCTGGGTAGATTATCTTTGGCTGTAGGTTCTTATTATTCATCACCTTGAATATTTCTTGCCATTCCCGTCTGGCCTGCATGGTTTCTGTTGAGAAATCAGCTGACAATAGTATAGGTGCTCCTTTATAGGTAACTACCTGCTTTGCTCTTGCTGCTTTTAATATTCTCTGTTCTTTTGCTCTTGGAATTTTAATTATGATGTGTCTTGGTGTGGTCCTCTTTGGATTCCTTTTGTTTGGAGTTCTGTGCGCTTCTTGTACTTGTAAGTCTAATTCTTTCACCAGGTGGGGGAAGTTTTCTGTCACTATTTCTTTTTTTTTTTTTTTTTAATATATTTTATTGATTTTGTACAGAGAGGAAGGGAGAGAGATAAAGAGCTAGAAACATCGAGAGAGAGTCATCGATCAGCTGCCTCTTGCACACCCCGTACTGGGGATATGCCCGCAGCCAAGGTACAAGCATGTTACTTTTAAGAGTTGTTTCAGAGTTCCCGTGAATATGTAGCGAATTCAATTTATGTTTTCAGTTGGTTGAAGCAATAAAAAAATAAATTTAAAAATTCTCTCTTTTAGGAAGTGGTTTTTCTTTTCAGTAGCAGAAGGCCAATAAACGTTTATTTATTGGTTGTTCTGCTGCAGATAGTCCATCTGCATACATCAAAAGTGAGTTCTTGCTATTGTTGGGTTCTAAAGCATCTTTCTCCCTGGAAGATAGAGGTAGTTGTCTGGCCTTCCTGCTACCATGGGTTACAGCCAGCTTAGCGTCGAAGCCTGTTTCTCTTCCTGAGGTTGGCTCTGTACTCCTTTACCCCTTTTCACTTTCCAGCAAGGAGATCAGAAGGACTAGCTAGTGAGATACTAGGAGAGCCAAAGGCTAGTGTGCCCCAGAAGCCAAAGGAAGAAAGGCTTAAGAAGAGGTAACACCTACACGTGTGCTAAGCTCTGGGGAAATAGCCCTCACAGAGTCTGCATTCTAGTGAGAAGATCCAAGCATCATGCAACAATAAACTTAAATATTTACTATGTCAAATGGTGAATGGTGCTTTGGAAAATAAAGTAAGGCAAGGGAGAAAGGGAGTGTGATTGGATAATACTCTGTATAGAGTGTCAGGGAAGGCCTTACTGATGCATGTGTTTGAGGAGACACCTAAAAGTTTGCTTGGCTTGTCAGTTCTGGATAAGACTGTTTTTGGAAAATATGAAGGTTTAGCTTATCCAGGAGCAAACAAGTTTGACATATCCAAGAGCAATGAGGCCTGTGTGGCTGGAGTTGAACCATGAGGGAAATTGCAATTGTGTCATGGATACAATTATGGCAAACTTAGCTCAGAGTGTAACCAACGGAGAGGAGGACTAAGCTGGGGTAGAGCACAGGATTGTGGAATAAGAAGTCAGGGGACTGAAAGGGCAAGATATTATGAAAGGATCTGCACAAGAAATCACCAGACTTATGAAAGAAGTGGTGTCCTAAGGAGTAATAATGAGCCAATTCATTTTCAAGAAGTGAAGGTGAATCCCTGGAGGCAGGTATGTGGTGGTCTGTAGCAATTGCAGCCAGGAGTGGTGGGTATTACAGTCAGATAGAGTGAAATCAAAGGCTGTTCTGGCCATGATGGAGTAACAAGAACTGCACATATCGTTCCACCTTAAACAACTAAAAACAAAACCAAAGTATATGAAACTGGTTTTTAGACATTGAACAACCGGCAGAGCAAGGCAGTGATTCCTGTGGTTGCTTCAGCTTACTACCTGAAGAGAATTTCCAAGCAGCACTGAAGGGATGGCAAGCCAAACAGAATCCCGCTGTTTTCATTCATTAATGAATTCATGTATTATTGATTTCAGAGAAGAAGGGAGAGAGAAAGAGAGATTGGAACATCAATGACGTGAGAGAACCATTGATCAGCTGCCTCCTGCACTTCCCCTATTGGGGATCAGCCTGCAACCTCAGCATGTGCCCTTGACAGGAATTGAACCCGGGATTGACTATCCACCGAGCCAAACCAGTCCACAGATTGACTATCCACCGAGCCAAACCAGCTAGGGCACCTGCGGTTTTCTAACGCTGAGGAGATAATTGAGGATTCAAAGAGGCTAACATAGCTAGAATTCTTAGTGTAGACTACCAGAGAGGGGAAACGCTTCATAGAGAGCAAGGTCTAGATCTACAGGGAGTTTCTCTTGAGTCTTCAGCTAGATCTACTGGTCAGTAGATACTTGTAAGGAAACTATCTAAGTCTGGAGAAAGGACTACCAAAAAGGAGCAGGCAGAACAATCAATCCCCAAAGTTTATACAAGGCTTGGAATAGTTCACTTTCCCAACAGACACCAGCTTATAATATATAGGAGTCGGGTTGAATATTCAGAAGGGCATTGCCTCAGTAGTAAAGATAGATGATCCCTAGACCAGTGATCAGCAAACTGTGGCAAACAAGCCACATGTGGCTCTCGAGCTGCAGTTTTCGCTCTGTTGACTAATGAGTTGGCCAACCATTGGGGTAGGGGCTTAATCACAAGGAACAACAACAGCCTGTTATTATTGGAATCTAGAGTCTAGGTCAGTGGTCGGCAAACTCATTAGTCAACAGAGAGGCAAACTGCGGCTCGAGAGCTGCAGTTTGCAAACCACTGCCCTAGACTAAAGGATGTTCTGGTTTCACCTAGTAAAGCTTGAACGATCAAAGGTAACTGTATCTCAGAACATTATTCAAATATATTTAAAGGAGTTGGGGGGGAAATCTATTGCAAAGAAGGTAAAAATCAGAGTGCCCAAAATCCAAATCAGAAATTACCAAACATGCAAAGAAGCAGGAAAATTCAATTCATAAAATGAGAAAAATCAATCAATAGGAACATACTCAGAAATGTCGCAGATAATAGAATTCATAGATAGAGACATCAGAACAACTAGTTTAAATATATGATATATGTTTAAGAAGATAGAAGAAAGCAAGGAGAGAGACAGAAACAAAAGACCAACATTAAACTTCTAAAATGAAATGTGATCTATGTCTGAAACCAAAAAATATACTCCTTAGGATTTAAGAGCAGATTAGATGTTTCAGAAGAAAAGGTAAGTGAACTTGAAGACAGCAATAAATGCTATCCAAACTGGAACACAGAGAATAAAAGGCTAAAAGCTAACAAAAACGCTGGCAAGCATCAGTGGGCTGCAGGACAATTTTAAGTAGTCTAATAAAGAAGAAGTGAGAAATAATGGGAAAGGGGTATAGAGTGAGATGAGGGGTGTGTGTGGGGAGGGGGAGGTGGGGGGAGTGGAATGAGAAATAATGGCAGAAATATTACCAAATTTGATATCCACAAATCTAAGAAATTAAAAAAATCCCAGCAGAAGAAACATGAAGAAAACTATACCAACACACATCATAATCAGATTGGCTAAAACCAGGGAGAACCTTAAAAGCATCGAGAGAAAAGAGATTAGGGAGCTTAAGGGATGAGAGAGTAACTATGAACTACAAGTAGCTGGGGAAACAGTTTTCTCAGGAGAGAGGTTTCAATGGGAGTAAGAAAATGAAGAGTATTTAGAGAAGAGCTTGAGAATATAGGGATTCCACTGACCCACTGATTCTGAGTACCTCAGAAGGCAGGTACAGTGGAAAGGTTTCAGGAGTTGGGGAGAGGGCAGGGCTAAAGTTAGATTAGGGGTTATATGAAGCCATACTGGGATATGGCTTGGATCCCATCATGGGATCTCTCTTGACTAATGCAAACAGGAATAACAGGCACAATGTAATTAGTCCTGATGGGCGCCAAGACAGATTGTGCTGGCCAGGCTGTGACTGCTGGGGATAGAGCGGCTAGAGGTCTTACAAGGAGCAAACAGGGCTTGCCTTCACTCTAGCTGATAGAAGTGTGGAGCCTGGACAGAGTAGTCTTTCCAGATAAACTTTGAGGCCATAACTGATGTAGATACTCCATTCCTGCACTAAATAGGTGCTCAGCAAAAAAAAAAAAAAAAGGAGTAATCTCTTCTACTGGAAGGAACTTCCTGCAGTGTCTGGATTCCATATAGGAATAGAATTTATTTTTATTTTCAGTCATGTTTAGTTTTCCAAAATCGTTCTAATACCTCTCATCAAATGGTGTGTGCACTCACATCCTAGCACTACTGAAATCACTTGGGATCTGGTTATTTAAAGGTGTGAGATGTCTCTTAAGCCTATTTTCCTGGGGTCCTCTGGATATCTTTTTGATTACATACAGTTATAGAATCCAGTCGGGATCTGAATGAAGTAAAGAAAGCATCGTATTCAAAATTGAGCATCAGTTGGGGTGTATTAAGTAATACTTAGCAACAGTTAAAAATAAGCAAGAAATCCACAAACTGTACTTGCTAGGTTGCTTTAGTAATTATATTTTGACAGCTCTTTATTCTTAAATGTTTGTATTAGGTGTTATGTTATCATTTGTTTGATAAAAAGCACACTTGAGTAGAAACGTGTGCTAGTCTTGAACAGTAGTAATAGGGAACCTGGTTATCTGGGCCATATTGCCATAACCAATGCTCTGCTGCTCACTTACATATCAAATATTTAAGGGAAAAATAAATATCAAGTAGAATGTAAGCCTAATAATCCCAAATCTGTAAAATCTTATTCAGCATCTCATAGGGTACCCATTTTGAAAGTTTAGGATATTTATGATCATAAATGTACTTTCTATTAATTACATTCTATTTCCAGTGGCAATCATGTAATATTTTTAAAGGGAGGGAGGGAAAGAGAGAGAAGAGAGAGAGAGAAAGAGAGAGAGAGAGAGAGAGAGAGAGAGAGAGAGAGAGAGAGAGAGAGAGAGAGAGAGAACCTTGATCAGCTGACTCCTGCACATCCCCTACTGGGGACTGAGCCCACATATGCCCTAAGAATCCAACCAGCAATCTTTTGGTGCATAGGAAAACACTTAACTAACTGAGCCACATCGTTCAGCACTACAATGTGGTTTTAAAATATGTGTTCTGTTAGTAGACGCAGCAAATGAGCAATCTTTATGCATTGCTTGTTACTGAGAAGCACAATTTTCTGTGCTATTCCTTCTGCCAAATTGCATTAATCATTTCAGCTTATGAAGAATATTATAATATTCAATGTAGTGTCTACATGTGCCTGATCTGGATATCAAGTTTATTTTCCTCATTAGGTTTAATCTGAATAATTATAGTTTTGTTGATTTTCAGTTTTCTTCGAGCAGAGAAGCCCTTTGAAAAAACCATTAATCATCTCCCCTTTGCCAAAAAATGAGAAAGATATGAAAAGAGAAAATTTTGCATTAAACAATTTGTCTACTCACTGTGAAATGGTTTTGAAGAGGTGTTGAGTTTGGGAGAAATTGGAAGAAATTTTTCGACCCCTGCCACATGCTCACTGTGAGCCACTGTGTGATGTGGCTGCTGCAAACAAGAAGGCGACATTCATGTAAAGCAACAGCAGCTTTCCAATAGCAGGATGATATAGTTCCACTTTCTTACTTAGATTATTGTGTCTAGTTTTTGGTACCTTCTTTTTATATTCTCTCTTATCCTGTTATCCATGTGACCAACCAGAGGCAAACATTTTAAAAATAATTGTTCATGCCGAAACTGATAGAGCATCAGCCTGGGGACTGAAAAGTCCCGGGTTCGATTCCAGTCAAGGGCATGTACATTGGTTGCGGGTACATCCCCAGTAGGGGGTGTGCAAGAGGCCGCTTATCAATGATTCTCTCTCATCGAAGTTTCTCTCTCTCTCTCTCTCTCTCTCTCTCTCTCTCTCTCTCTCTCTCCCTTCCTCTCTGTAAAAAATCAATAAAATATATATATTTAAAAATAATTGTTCATATTGTGATAGAAAAGGCAAAGCTATCTAACCCAAATTTCTTCTAAAGTCTTAAGCTATGTTTTCTTTTTCTTTTGTTTTTTTTTAAATATGTTTCTGTAAGTTGAAAGCCATCTGATAAATCAAGAAAAAGAAAAAGAAAGACCAGTATTGTGTTACTAATCAAAGGATTCTCAAGATCACCTCTTATGACCCTATAACAAGCATTAGCTTATCTATAGTAGTAAAAGGGTAATATGCTAATTAGACCAGGAGACCTTCTGGACATCCTTCTGGACAAAGCCATGGTGGTGGGGCCAAGGCAGAGACCATCAGGCCAGTTGGGGGTAATCAGGCCAGCAGAGGGAGGGCCATTGGGGGTGAGCAGGTCGGCAGTGGAGGGCAATTTGGGGTGAGCAGGCCAAAGGGGGGGTGGGCAGTTGGGGACAAGCAGGTTAGCAGGGTGGTGTTGGGGGGCACTTGGGAGTGAACAGGCTGGCAGGGTGGGCAGTTGGGAGCTAGCAGAGCTAACAGGCCGGCGGCTGGGGGATGGGTATTTGGGGGTAAGCAGGCGGGCAGCCAGAATGGTTAGGGGCGATCAGGCAAGCAGTCAGGTGAGCAGTTAGGTGCCAGTGGTCCTGGATTGTGAGAGGAAAATCTGACTGCCAGTTTAGGACATCCCCCGAGGGGGTCCCAGATTGGAGAGGGTTAAGAACACCCCCTTTACCGTGCACGGATTTTGTGCCCTGGGCTACTAGTCATGATTATAATATAAAATACGTAACTAGCCAGTTGTCATTTTTGGATAAAATTTGAAGCAATAATGTATCACATTAAAAAATGTTTTAGCGCTCTGGCCAATTTGGCTCAGTGGATAGAGCGTTGACCTGTGGACTGAAGGGTCCTGGGTTTGATTCTGGTCATGGGCACATGCCCAGGTTGCAGGCTCAGTCCCCAGTTGGGGGCTTGCAGGAGGCAGCCTATCAATGATTCTCCCTCCTCATTGATGTTTCTATCTCTCTCTCCCTCTCCCTTCCTCTCTGAAATCAATTTAAAAAAATTTTAAGTTTAAACTACCACTCTTTAAATATATATATATTGTCGTGAAAGTTTAGAGTTTTTGTAGTTTGCATTTGAAAATTAGAAATTTTATATTGAAGATATAAAACTAAAATACCTAGTCCTTTAAGTTTTAAGTTTCCCCCCCTATATTTTTAGTGTTCCATATGAACAAAACATTCTAGCCATTTATTTAGAAAAAATCAGAGCTAATGAAACTTCTTTTATCCTTGATGTGATCATTAAATTTACTATTAACGTTATAAAAATTTCATTTTCAGCATGTAGAGGTCTTTTGTCCATGTTGGGTATTATGGGGAAAAGCTATAATATTTGGTTATAACATTATTATGATTGAATAAAAAAAACCTTTGTTCTTAACACTGGACTTACTTGAAGAGAAAATAGAAAATAATCTGGATGTTTTTGTTTCCTCTTAGGTCTTCGGATAACTGTGCTCCTGACATCCTTCCTCATGGTTTTGGGAACTGGTCTAAGATGCATACCTATATCAGACTTAATGATTAAAAGAAGGTAATTCCTATAAATAACTTAAAATTATTTCCCCAATTTTTCTTTGGTTATGAGTACGTTATGTATGTTTGCTTATAAACTTTGAGTGAACAGTTCCATTTTTAAGATGATCAATAGAGGGTCATATTTATGGTTGCATTTATTTTCCTCCCTATATAATAATCAATTATACATTTATTAGTTATATGGAAGACATAATACTAGTTATTTAAATAAAAAGAGAACAAGTCCATCTTCATGCTATCCAGGTGCTATAATAGCCACAGGAAAATAATAGTGTAACATAAAGAAGAATGTCATGGAAGAGGTTAAAATTGCTCTGAGAAACAGAAGTTTTGTCTGAGGGTATGAAGAAGAAGAGTTTGTGAAAGAGCTGATAATTAAACTAGGTATTGAAGGATGAGTAGAATTCTGGTAACTATTGTCAGGGCAAGGGTAGTGGAACATTAGGAACAAAGGCCTGGAGGCAGGTAAGAGGAGGCCTCTTCTGAGCTGGGTAGGTAGTTTCATTTCTGCCACTGGGGTCCATGGATTTATTCTCCAGCGATGTAAAGTATAAGAAGATTTAAAATTTTTGTTTTCCTTTCGGTTACAATACTGTATTAAGAATTATTTTTACCAGTAACAATCTATATTTAAAAAACTTTTATTTATCAAAACTTCAGTTTCTTAAATTAGCGTTTCTTAAATGGTATCCTTAGATGTGACCTTGTAAACCATTAAGACATTTTTTCCCTTTAAAAAGGATCCATAAAATACTCGATTTTGGGAGACACTGGTCTATAGAATAAGATATAAGAATGGAATATGAAGAGATGAGTTGACAAAAGAGTATCCAGATTATGCAGGATCTTAATGCCACACTATACAGTTGTATTTTCCTCAAAGGACAGTTGTGAGCCACTTAGGTTCTTAATCAGAGCAGCAGTAGAGTCAGACCCATGTGAGGTGAACTACCGATTTGAGGTGTGTAGGATTTATTACAGAGCCTGCCGGGAGGAGACCAGGAAAGATGCAGTGAGAGCCCACGCTGGAGACCTTCTGTTTGTTTGTTTATTCATGTATTAGCTCATTTATTGAACAAAGTTAACTGCACTATTATATGTTTTGGGCGTGGGGAATACAGCATGGAACACAGTAGACAAACCATGTCTCATGGCGTTTACATTCCAGTTGGGGAGGCTGGCAATAATCTAGGTGAGTAAGTAAAATATGTAGTATGTGCTATGGAGGAAAAAAAAAAAAGTAAAATAAGAAAGACTTGAAATATCAGAGGAAGGATGGTAAAATTTCATAAATAACGAAAAAACCTCGTTAGGAAGTTCACTTTTTTGGATAAAAACCTAGAACGAATGATGTATTATCTAGGGGACAAGAATTCTAAGCAGAGAGAATAACAAGGGGGAAGGGGTGGGAAGGGAATGACATGACTTGGCAGGGAGATAATGGCTGGAATTGAGTGAGAGACTTCAAGGGGAGAATAGTAGGAAGTGAGATCAGAGCAGTTATGCGTGGTGGTGGGAGTGTGAGCTAGGAAACCACTGGAAGTTTTGAGCCAGGGAGAACCAGAGTCATAGTCTGCTTTGCTTAGAATAGACTCAAACTGGAGGTCAAGGCAGGAGTAAGAAGACCTAGGAAACCAGAGCTATAAACTAGGTAAGAGAAGATGGCTTGGGCCATAGTGGCAGCAATGGTGGTGGTGAGAAGTGGTCAAATTCTTTTTTTTTTAAAGTATATTTTTATTGATTTTAGAGAAGAAGGGAGAGGGAGAGAAAGAGAAACATTAATGATGAGAGAGAGTAATTGATTGACTGCCTCCTGCACATCTCATACTGGGGATCAAGCCCGAAACCCAGGCATGTACCCTGACAGGGAATCGAACCGTGGCCTCCACTCAACCACTGAGCCATACCAGCCAGGCTAGAAGTGGTCAAATTCTGATTGTTTTGAAGGATTTGCTGATGGATTGGATAAGATGATAAGAAAAAGAGTAGAGTCCAGAATAACTCTGGGAAGTTATGGGAATGAAAAGAATGGCACAGATATGAAAGAAAGAAATTGAAGGCAGAGTGTTAAGGTTTCACTCAAAGAATACAGGAGGAGGGAGGAGTAAATTTTAAGGACAAGATGTTGACTTTCATTTGGAAAATAATTTTTTTCATTTCAAAATAAATACTGTTCATTTTCAAATTTTTGAAATGTTATCTTTCCAGAAAATATAAACTGCAAGTATTTCATATTTTACAAGGAAGACAGCCAAATCACTTGGGTTCCTACGGAAAGCTAGTCTTATTTCCTATTCTGAGTGAAGTTTTAATAGATTACTTTCATTAATTGTGTTGTGATTACTTTCATTATCATTATGGTCTTAATTTTACAAATATCCAGTTTTTTTTCTAAGCACCCTCAGCTTTTAAGTACAAATTTTAGGATAAGCTTAAATTCCACAGTACATTCTTATAAAATGCTTATTAATATATTTTGTTAGCTTTTCTTCTGTTTGGGGTCAACCATATTATTACTTCCCTCTGGTTTTATATTCATGCCTTTATATACTTTCCAGATATAAAATTCCAGGAATAATAAAGAGTTGACACTCTGTTTTGGTGGAGAAAATGGTATGAAAAAGAAATAAAGCTCATAAAAAAATGTAAACAAAGCAGGAAAGGGAAGAAATAAATAAAATAGAGTTCAGAGAGATTGAATCATTTATGAAAAAACTTCAATAATGAAAATAAGAGAGAGAAAGGTAAGGGTTATATGTAAATTTCCCTAGTACAGAAATATAAACTTTTTGATGTAAAAGTGAACAATTGATAGATTTAAGAACTAAGACTTGTCTCTGTTTTTACATAGATTCATAATCCCCTAGGTCAATATTTTTTAGAAGTATGGTCCATAGACTACATGATTATTAAAAATACAGATTCTTGGACCTCACTCCAATCCTACTCAGTTAGTCTCTGGAGTGAATCCCAAATCAATAATTTTAACAAGTTCCTCAAAGGTTCAGCTATTGCATCTAATTCAAAATCCAGGACTTATGGTTTCTGCGGAGTCTTTGTGGCTCTCTGTGAGTAATTCCTTTGTTGTTTGTGGCTTTGACTTTGTCCTCTGCGAGGCTCTTTCTTGTCCAGCATCCTCATTGTCCACGCCTGGGGATGTTGGAAGAAATGCTCTTTGTGAGGCTGCACAGCTTTGCATTGCCCTCGCTGCCTGGTGCTGATCTGGGGACCTGAGGACTGCTTTAGGCATTGGCAACCATAAACGCTTCTAGAACTGTTTTGTAATGTCTTCCCTCTAGAAAGGAACACAGCCATGCCGACACCTTGATGTTAGCCCAGAGAGACCTGTGTTGGACTTCTGATTTATAGAATTGTAATATAATAAATTAGTGTTGTTTTAAAGCTACTGAGTGTGTAATACTTCGTTATAAGAGCAATAGAAAACTAGTACACCAAGTTACTTTTGTGAGAGTGTAGGCATGTATATGTGCACGTATGCGTAATTTTTAGTGATGTTCAGTGCTGGTAAGGCACGTCCTGTCATGCACTACTGAGTGGAATGAAAATTACTACAAACTCATTTGAAAATCAATTTTGAATTAAGTTTCATGAGGGCTGAAATGTTCAGACCTTTGTTTCATTGATCTTAAAGAAATAATTTGGAAAGTGGCATATATTTACATACAAAGATGGTCACAGCAGCATTATCAATATTAGCAAATAAGTAGCAAACATTATAAAAATGCTTAAATGGTTTTTTGCACATCTGCATAAGAGACTGCCATGGAGCCATTAAAATTATAACAATAAATTATGTAGAATCTTTAGTGAAATGATAAAATGCTTATGGTAGATTGTAAAGTTAAAAATATTTAGTGCGTAAAACTGTATATTCTATTTGATATCTGTGGTTACCTATGCTTAAGTATTGATTGGGGGGAAGGAAATGAAAGAAAAAAAAGATTAAAAAACCCAAAATATTAATAGTGCTTGTGTGAGTTATTTAATTGAATTACTGAATGTGTGCATTTTTTCCTTCTCTTTGTACTCCTCTACTATGAGTTTATATACTTTTAAGCTAAAATACAAGATATAAGATAGGAGACAAGAAAAAAGTTATGAGACAAATGTGGGGAAGTTGACATCTCTTAGATCAGTTCATTTCCCCCCTGTACCTTGCTGAGAGATTATTGATTTGGCTTTAATAAAAACTCTGTGAGATAGGACAGAAAGGAAATAAGTGATTCAACAAAGATTACATGGTTAATAAATTTAGCTAAGACTAGAAGCTGAGTCTTCTGACTTCTAATCCAGTATTCTTTTTCTGTACTTTCTATAACTGGTACTTGATAAATAATTATAATCTTCTTTAGGGATAAGACTGTAATCCTCATTTTGTATTCTCTTTAGTGTCTAGCTGCAGGTGCCTTCACTATAATAGATATTCAATAGATATTTTAATTGAATCTTAATTGGCCAAAATTATTAAAGACACAAAAGTGAAATTGATCTTTAAAAAATATATTTTATTGATTTTTTTACAGAGAGGAAGAGAGAGGGATAGAGAGCTAGAAACGTCGATGAGAGAGAAACATCGACCAGCTGCCTCTTGCACAACCCCCACCAGGGATGTGCTCACAACCAATGTTTAAAATCACACTCATAATTTTATAACTCTCCTACCCCTAAAAGTATTGGGGGGAGCTCCAAAGTCATACAATTAGCTAATGGCTGAGCCAGGACTAGAAAGTAAAATTAGAAATGATTTCATCAGCCCACAAATCTCTCTATTCTTCCACATGGTCAACCTAAGATTCTAGGATACCAAAGGCATATGGTAGCTAGTATATTTTTATTCTGTGCATAAATCTACTTTATAAATCTTCAGTTTATTATGATTAGCATTGGAGATAAAATTGCAGATACAGATTAGTGTAAGTACAGCAATCTTATCTTAAATTATATATATTTTTAATATGAAATAATTTAGGATCT